GTAAACAGGAGGATTGTATACTGCATGCTCACTACCTAATATGCACTGCGCCATCACACGACCGACTGAGTTGTTCTGTTCGTTTGTTTATTATTACTTCTCTGTACGTCCTTGTTATCCGCCATTAAACTGCGTCCGCACAATGCCGCATTGGTTTGTCCCAATTGCCGTGGTGGCATCGTAAAGAGCCTACGTCGACATTTGTGACTTCTACAAATAGAAGACTGAAGTCAAGCCTTTCACCTGTATGATTGATATGGAAATTTTGTCGGAACAAAGACAGTTTTTGAGCTAAGTAGTTTTCTTGTTTCTGTGACCCTCATGCAGTTTCAAATTTGTTTGTGATATTGCTGTGCACCATTTAAACCATGATGGCATCCGCTCGCGCTCTAAAACAATGGCAACTCATCAAAAATGAAACCACTAATTCATTTAAAAACGAGAAACAGAATTTATTGTATATCCTCATACTTGATAATAATTTTTCGGCATTCTTTGTTGATGGATTTGAATGGAAGAACAAAAATACTGCCAATTCAACTAGAGGTTTACAGGACGATAGAAGCCTCATTCCCGCCGATTTGAGGAGAACTGCAGCCCAGAAAAATGTCCAGCTTGAATTAATGCTCGGCCAGATAGCAAATTACTGTACAGTTATATCACGTCACTCGCTCAGTGATATTTGGCAGAAAATTAGACAGCATTATGGGTTTCAGTCCTCAAGAGTTCATTTTTTGGATCTTGATAAAATTCGCCTACAACCGGATGAAAAGCATGTAGATTTGTATCAGGGCATTATTGCATTTTATGAAGATAATTTATTGACAAAAAATGGCGGTATTGCACATCACAGTGACCAGGTTCCAGATGATGAAGACTTGACCGGTTACAACTCAGCTATTCACATCCAAGGCACCAGACCCTCAACAAAAATAGTTAAAATTAAAGACGTAAAACGTTACCTGGGAGATGTCAGTATGGCCAATGATGGGTTTCTTATAGTGAGGGATACACAGCCTTTCCAGTGTCATTGATAGCCTGCTCACAGCAGTTCATCTTCGCCTTAATCGTCTCTCCAAACACCAACTGAAACGCTTGTTCAGCAGATATTTTTTCGCCTTAGATCTGGAGAGAGCCATTGAAGCAGTATTTGCCTCATGCCATAATTGTCTATCCCTGAAATTGGTACCAAGACAGCTGTGTCCTCAGTCAACAACAACACCACCAAACCACATAGGCAGATCATTTGCTGCAGATATTATGTGCCGACAGCGCGAGTACGTCTTTGTTCTTCGTGATACAGTATTCTCCTTCACCCTAACTGCTATGATGGAGAGCGAGAAGCATGTTCAAAATGTCATATTGGCTCTCTGTGCTGAAGTTAGATGTTTGGGTGATGAGGATATCTTCATCTGTATAGACTCGGGCTTGGTTGCCGCACTTAACTGACCCGACAATCAAACTACTAAGTATACGGTTACAGATTGGGAATGTTAAAAATATTAATAAAAATCCCGTGGCAAAATGCTATCAAGGAACTGGGCCTTGAATGCCTCAACATAAATCCTGAGGGAGGTCCCTTATCTTACTACCTTAGCAATGGCGACTGCTAATCTAAATGCCAGAATAAAGAAAGGAGGCTTATCGGCATGTGAGATATGGACACAAAGAGACTAGTTCACTGGGTAGCAGTTACCTATAGACGATCGACAAATAATACAACAGCAACATTTCCATCGGATATTTAGTCATGGTCCTAGTTTGAAATCGAAAGCGCATGGCAAGTCAAAATCTGCTGTAGGGGATATATATATGTTTTGTAGATCTTGTATACCTTTACGGCAATAGGGATAAAACCTGTGCCAGAAATCGTTACTTGGTTGTTGGTCTGTCTGATGACCATTGTCAAATTAGAGTGTTCACGAAATTCCAGTTCAGTGCTAAAGTATATGATGTTAGAATTAATGTTTGCTCTCAAGTAAGCCTACTGTCTACATCAGATCCCTTCTCCGATCTTGTTAGAGGTCTAAATGAAGTTGAATACTCTGATTCGGATACTGAGATTACATCCTTGACTACTACTATGATTACCCCAATCTTATCTCAATACGCACCAGAAAGACGTGACAGCCAGCTGATTGTATTATGCCTCGTCGATCTTCCAGAGTCAGAAAGCCACCTGGATAGCAACTGAATGGAAATTGGTTAATGGAATAAATTCAAGGCCATAATAATGCCTATACATGGTGTAAGCCTAGCACCACCCGTGAATTTAAATTTAGGTTGTTAGCTTGGGGCCATAATAATGCCCTAACTTCAGGGTGAGAGCCAAGCGCCACCGAAAATGGTGTTTATGTTGATTATGTGATAACAATCCTGTAAATGTATATATTTTGTGTTGATCATATTACTATACTCGAATTACTTTATCAGAAATAATGTTTATGACATTCACTTGTGACATTTAAGATCATATGTGAATTGTTAAGGGAAGAAACGGAAGGGCTATCATGCCATCACACGACCGACTGAGTTGTACTTTCGTTTTGTTCGTTTGTTTATTATTACTATCCGTCAATAAACTACGTCGGCACAATTCAACATTGGTTCGTCCTAATTGCCGCTGGACATGGTTCACTGTATTTTGAAACCTGTGTACAGTTGACAACAGAATGTATTTAGAGAAAAACATGTATGTATGTAGAGAAAAAAACCGTGTCTGGAATAGTTTATATAATAATACAACAGATTTTATTATAGGACTCCTGGTGATAGATGAACGTGGTTGTACGTTTTCTGTTTGAACTATTTGTATATATTCTTAAGGTACCTGATATACGTATGTATTTGGTTTGAAAGAGGAGTTTGTCCAGGACAATAGTGCTGGAATTAATATAATTTGTTCTGAGATAAGTCTAACAAACAGACTTGTAACTAAAATGTGAACTCCTAGTGACTAGCTTTGTTTAAAAATAAAGTCGGCATCGTGTAATAAAAGGATAGATTCACAGGAAAAATATACAAAAAAATTAGAACATTATAGCAGGACTACCTAAAAGAAATTATATATTTAAAAAACAAACATATTCTCTTATTATACCTCATAACTAGTCATGACATAATTAGGTTTACCTTCAATGTCACTATTTTACAATACATTTAAATTAGCAGAATGTGGTTTTCAATGGCAATTTTGTTTCAATCGTAATATCTATCTAACAAATAACGCGCTTTAGCGACATAGATAGATGTAGTTTTCGAGGTCGACTTTCTAATTGACTGTTTAGCTGATCAATATGTAGAATAAAGCAAATCTCTGAAAAAGCAGAATTTGTTACTTATTGTTAACCGCAATGACATCAAGAGACGTGGACAATGTTTAATAAAGGGATCAATTCAAGATATTATTCAGATTCTAGTATTCAAACGATAAGTACGTTTTGTGCTAGCTTGTATCGTCATTTGATCTTCCATGCTATTTATACGAAGTACGAAAGTTCAAACCACCATAGGTTAGGTTAGAAAAGGCGGAAAGCACAGAGTAGAATATACAGACATATGCATCATTTTGTTTGTTTGAATTGTGTTGAAACTGGTATATTATTTGTAACTAGAATATATTTTCGGCTGAACTGTCAATACTGAACAATTGAACAGATGTGAATATGTAAATAAAGTAACCAAAAAACATTACCATAACCAGCTAGACTATTTTGATTACACCAACTAATCTCAAATTTATTGTCTAATCGTACATTATTATAGTCATGCATCTGTAACGTCGTCCAGAGATGACAAACGTTGTTTCCTTTCACCAATAATTTCATTAATCTTGTTTTTACACTGCAATAAATAAACATTTTGAAAACAACAGTATAAAAGGCGGACCAGCCCTTTACTTGATTTTTTAGTCTTTATGCTATGCTTGCCATAAGTTTCCCGATTGCACTGGTTTCATAGAGCCTGAACTGTCACCAATTTTTGCGCTATAACATTCCCTATTTCCAATAATTTGGAAGCTCACTCACTCTCGATTGTACATTGCGTTTTTATAATGTGTAACCAGTGCACAATATGATATTAAGTTTCCCGGATATCAACCCATTTTGATGCTGCTGTTGGTAGGTTATAATTTGAAGTCGGGGTTTTGTAATTAACTCTCCACCAACTCCCACTGGTATGTTTGCCTAGGTTTAGACGATGCGAAGATTGAGCTTTCTAAAAAGTCACCTTTTGCGGACTATATTGAATGAATCGTTAGTTGATGAGGGAATTAATAAACTAAATGCCCTGATGGTTTTACACTACAAACTGCTATTTTAATTTTATTATCGTTCATCACTTAATAGATATAAAAATTTCCAATTATTACAATGCATATTGTTAGACTGAGACCAATATACCAATGCCATGTTTGAGACGTGTATTTCAATCTCATTCAGTAGACGGTGAAAAATTTAGCGGGCTAGTGCAATTTTTTTTTACTTCACAGGAATCACATGTTGATAAAGGTGTTATAATTTGTTTTGCCATCATCGATGGTACATTTGCATAATCATACGAATGTAATGACTATATAACATACAACCAATGTTTTAAATCAGATACACAATCTTTCAATTTGCAGCACACACAACATAAATTGAGATATTTGGTATTGGAGCAAAGTTGAAAACGGAAGAATTTTAAGTTATAGTTAATAAAGCTACAAAGGAACAGGAAATACACTCATCACAAATTTGGGTATAGTGTATGAACCTAGAACACCCATCCTTGACATGTCATGAATTTGCTGTACGAGATATTCATACACAGGCACAATGTATTGTTTCTCATATAGCGTATCTTACTATTATTGCACCACTTAGTCCTGTATTAATACACTAAACTTAAATCATACTATATCATAGTACAGTTATCGGAATTGCTACTTGTAAATACATTCCACACATACACATTTCAAAATAATCATTGTACAATACAGTTTTGAATTAATCCTATTATTGCTTGCAATTTATTTTTATTTGTAATCTACGAAAAAAATACATATCATCAATTACAAACCACAAATAGTATTCCATAACAGCCATGACTATAGATTATACAGACGTCTAAAGAAATGAATAGTGTGGCAAGAAGAATAAAATACAATAAACTCATGAAGAAACGAGTATGTATGCAGCATGAAAAATGAATATTAATAATTGCAATTGTAACTTGGCATTGACAAGCCATTATTCCAATAGAAGGAGTGAGAACTGTTATCATGCTTTTATTCATACTGGGGAATTATTGGTTATAAGCGGTTCCCAAAATCATAATACTACTTTCTGTGTCCTGTGTTCAGATTCATGGACAGCTACAGATGAAAGAATGGCAAAACAGGAGGTTATTTTTCACATATAGTCAAATATTAATCTAGAATGAAAATTCGTGGTGTCAAAATACATTTACAAACTTATTATATTACTAGAGCTTTGAATCAGACAAATTTGTTTCCGTGGTTTCCCATATCACAATGATGTATAATTAGTAGTATATAACATATATAATTAGTTTTCTCCAAATACAAGATTGTTGATAACACAACACACACGGCACAATATTAGACATACTACAGTCGTTTGACTGAACTTACCTGCCTGGTACGACCCAGCTATTTGCAAACTCGGTTACATCAGAAACCAATTCCAAACCATTGGCTGTAAGTTTCTGGAAGTCGTCATCAGGATCGTCATTAGCATTACCCAGTAAACCACATACTTTGCCGTGATATTTTTCATCAATGGCTACATCAACACGACCATTACCATTAAACCATACACTGAATTCACCAGCCTTGTCTATTTTAACTTTGCTTTGATCTGGTTGTATAGTGATGCCATTAGTAGAGTCTTCCCACAGGCCCAATTTAGCAATGTGCATTGCACTTTCATTGTTGATCTGGAAGTCAAATACATTACAAGGTACTATTTGTCGACAGTGCAGCACATATAAGAAATATGCAGTAAGGGTTTGTCATTTTTCATACGTTAAATATATTAGTTTCAAACTTGTCGGACCTCTCCGCTCTGACTAATTTGCAAGTGCTCAATGGCGACATGTGACGCAAGAATCTCTATATAATGTAGTACAAATGCAATTTCACAAAACAGTAATTGGTTTTGTCATGCTATGGCTACCTTATTATCAATGTCAATTTTATCCTGAGGGAATGTTTATACAATTTAGCTACTCTGGCAGTATGAGTTTTACGTCTGTCAGGGAAGTTTACCCTTAAATAGCTAATAGCTAATATGTATTACTTTAAAGCGATTGATGTATCTAAAAATAGATTGTATTGTTCCTAGTGTACGCTGTGTTCTATACACATTGTTGTAGCGTGATTAAGCCTATATATAGTTTTTATAAAATTGTTCATTCGTATCCGAGGACAAAAATATATAATTCTGAACACTACAGGTATTCATGACCAACATAAAGGTAACCAATCATCAAATTAGCAACCATTCTGCAGTTGATTTTGATTTGAATATATGTCACCAAAGACAACAATTGAATAACAGAAACCAAAATTTAATACAGTAACAGTCGTAACCAATGGTTACAAGTTATTGTTCACTTATGTAAATGAAGTACTGAGAAATAAAGCTGTATTAATTTCATAGAGCTTGTTTGTTAGTGATTTGTGATTCAGAATACCCATTATATTTCAGCTGTTACGGAGCTTAGAAACGTTAACACTGTGCACTGCGCCACAATTATCTGAATGGAAAAAACGTAATTGCAGTGCAACATAAGCTTATTCTGTGTATATCTGAGCAGAGATAATCAATTATTTTCTGACAGATCGTGTTCATACCATAAATATATGGTTTGTTTTACTCAGAAAGTCATTGTGTTATACATTATACAGTTTTTGACATTTCAGTGTACAATAATAGGCAAAACAATCTGGACTTACCGAAACGTATTTTGATTCTAAAAGTTCAGCTTTGAAATAATTCTTTGACGATAATTGAATGACAACAGAAATTTTAGAAACATATGCCTTTAATTTTCCTTTGAGGCTTTCCATCAATCCATGTTTATTGATGATAGTAAAACGCGGAGTATGCAGTGGTTTCTTACATTCTCTCAACAAGACATAGGAACAGTGACCATCAAACTGGAAGGATTTGTGGTCAAGTGTTTCAAAATGAGGATCTCCGTATCCATTTCCTCCTCCATTCTGTATTGCTGCAAGAAATAATGTTCATTATGTATCAGTTTTATTTTTATAAATAAATTGAATATTTATTACCACTGAATTTAGTTAGTAACATATGTATGAGCGATAAACATATCAGGATGGTTTAATATGGTGGATATCGCAATTTGCAAATGACAGAAGCGTCCTGAAATATGGGAATGTCGATTTACACTTAAAATTCGGTCGATATCGCACCTCATCGTGTCGGCATATACAACACGCGTTAAATAAATGTGTTTAAAGGAAATTAAATTACAGGCTGTACTTTTCAACAATATGTCATTATTTAAATCGATAAACCATGGCACGCGCCCGAGTTTGATGTGTACAAAAATCGTACTCATGAATGGATGGAAACCATAAGAACACCACACGACCCGATGACCATCGTCCTTTATGTTAAAAAGTGCCAAACTTACGTCTGCAGCACTTGCATGTCGGTAGTCCGGATGTCGCTTCATTTTGAAAACAATGTTCATTTATTTCAATTTCCTTGTTTTCACATCGTAATGGTCTACAGCATCCCCCGGCTAAGTGGCACGGACTTGGTTCTATTGCTCCTGTAGTGGGATCTACGGAAAAAAATAACATCTGTAATACAAACATGCAAACAAGTCCTGACGTATAATTTTATTATTTTCAATTGATAAACACTCATGGTTTCTACGTCCGCATATTATAATTAATGGTTGCGGAAAAATGCGAATTTCCATCAGATTCTGACTGATTTTTCTAATGCTGCGAATGTATTTAACGAACTAAACGATATTAAGTGAACCCTCACTGAAGCAATCTGATACAACGTAAACTATTCTCAACGAAAAACATTCACATTTGTAACGTTTCACCACATACACAGATACAAAATAAAGTGTAATAATAGCCAAGTTTTTGCAGTTGGTCAACGTGAAATAACACAAAAAATAACTTACTTTTTTTATTATCCACGCACCTGCAAAACATAATAAAATTAGAAACAGTTTCAAGCAATTTAAACTCGAATGTAATGAAACCACGTCTTTTTCCTGCTTAAATTATATTCGTTTGCAATACAAAGATTACACTAGAGTTTAATTGGTTATAGGAAAACATAGCCAGGTATACAACATTGTCTCTCCCTAGGTCCAGCAGGATCGCACAGACCAGATCGATAATCACCGTTGGGGCAAGGTTCCTTCGTCATATCCAAACACTGAGCTCCTGGGTAATTCGTATATGGTGCATCCGCTGTTCAAAAAAATTGATGAATTTGTAACTCGATTCATTGCGAACATCATATTCTTTGTTACAACTACACCGTGCATTTATAAACTATACTATGAACTATATTGTTGGGTTGAGTCTAGTTTGTGGGCATTATCCTTAACAAATGCATAAAACTGATGTAGTAATTACTCATGCAATGTAAATTAACATATTAAATGATGTCAGGAGGTTTTATGAATATATCACCTAATCATTCTTTACAAACATATAGCATTTTTTAACAACTGGCTAAGAATGTGAAGACATTGAAATAGATAAATAACACCCTCAATGACATAATAAATAACTTAATAAATAGCACACTCTATATTTATTGAATGTATCGTTAAAATGTTTCCAAAATAAATAAGAAAATAATATAAAACAAATATTCACCGTCCGGTGTTTTTGGCTTACAGCATCTTCTGTTAGGATGTCCCCCACATTCATTGGAGACATACCAACCATCACATAACGTATTGTCGTATTGGCAAGTACCACTGACACCACCAAGTACAGGAATTGAAGTACATTGACTATCATCTGATAAATAAACCATCTAGATGTTTGTATTTAATTGAATTTATACTATGGGAACGTAATACTATCCTCTCGAATTCTCGAACTATTCATCCAAACACTCATGATACAGCAATGCAAAAAAAAACGTATTTTCATTCATATTATGTACCAATTACAATTCGTATAACACGTTGATAATGATTGTTATGTGAATTAAAAAAATATTCACCTATAGAATTATAGCAGCATCCATTGCCGACACCACATACGTCGGTATCATAGAAAATCCCAGGACATGTTGCACTTGCAAGTTGGCACACATTAGGGTTAGGGCAGATCAAATCCACTGTGGAAAAAAAGGCCTGACGTATAAACTGAATGATGGTTATAACACTTTCTACATCTTACAGTTGATTATAAACATTTGAAAAATCAAAATCATTCAATAAATTTTGTCAATAAATATGTCGGAATCAAACAGATAGACATAACTAAATAACATCAATATTTACTACATTATCCGGTTTTAGTCAACATCTAAAAAATTATCATCATTGCCCGGCTATTCAAACCTAGACCATATTTCATCTTCTTAAGCACGGGCCTATTTTGGCATTCATTTATTTATTTATCAGTCACACTTACCGAATGGATGGCAACACCCATAATCACATGGACACAAATTTTTATGTATTACACCAAAACACTGCTCTTCTCTAGCAACACAGTGTGCACCGAAGCCACTAGATCTACACGGACCATCTACAAAGTATAAGTAATTCCTTATAAAACGTGATTGATCGATCAATCAATAAATCAAACCAACCACCCACCAAAACAAACAATGCACCATGAATTATATGTTTGAGTTGTACGTGCAGTAACAATGTATATGCTATGGTTGTTATATTCGTCAAGTGGTAAGGAAATTAAGGTTTAAAGAGACTGATTGTGATAAAGGTTTTAAAGGTATGTTTTTTAATTATAGCATTATTCATGCTGACGTTATAAAATGCTTGATAAAACAGATACAGTTTACCCTCAAAAAAACTAAAACTTGAATGTGAAAATATCAGTAAAAACATAGCCACGAAATACTGCATGCAGTGAAAGAAAATCATCTAGCTCACCTAAATCCCCCGGCATGTACGGAATGAAACACATCAGATGACGGTTACAGTTGTTGTGTGCCCAACATATTTTGCTATGTGTATAACATCCGGAATTGTCATCAATCCTATCGTCTCTGCAAACGCCTGCGTGTCCTTCTCCGTCATGACAAGTCTTTCCGTCATTTTCTAATCATAACATCATCAGACAGGTATTAAATAACCATATTG